AACCTGTCTGCAGAAAAACCAGCAGTTGCATTCCCAAACAAAACATGTATGGATGTACTAGAAATGTTGCAAAAGGAGTTTCAAATTAGATTTAAAGAGGAGCTTCGTCTCCATGAACAGGACATACAGCTTTTCCGGAACCCATTTTCTGTCGACATTGAAACTGTTGATCCGATTTACCAAATGGAATTGGCCGAACTACAGACTCGTGACTCGCTGAAAGATGCATTCAAATCAAGCAGCCTTACTAATTTCTATGCATCTCTCCCCTCAGAGACGTATCATAATCTCAGGAACCATGCGCTTCAAATTGCAACCATCTTTGGCAGCACCTATGTCTGTGAGCAGACTTTTTCCCGAATGAAACATCTGAAATCTCCAATCAGATCCAGACTAACTGATGAACACTTGCATCACTTGCTACGACTAGCAGTGACAAATATGGAACCTAACGTTGACCATCTCATTAGCCAAAAGCAGGCCCATAGTTCACATTGAAATATTATTTGTTTTTGTTGATTACAATTGCTCTTCATTTTAAATATTGCATTCTTTTTCCTGTTTTTTTGTGCACTACTACAAATAAAATATGTGCAGTGTGCATAGGAATTCGTTCATTTTTTTTCCAAACTATAGTCCGGCCCCCGATAGTGTCTGAGGGACAGTGAACTGGCCCCCTGTTTAAAAAGTTTGAGGACCCCTGCTCTAAATAGAAGGGACTTGGCTTGGACTGCACTGACAGTGACGCTTGATCTGGACAGTGCTCTGGTTCAATGCACTAAGTCAGACAAAGCCAAGAAAAATGCACTCTCCTCTCAGGAAGCAGGATGACAGCAAGTCTGGGAGCATCACTTGGATCCACAAAGTGTCAACATACTGACATCATAAGTACCCTGCTCAGTTCTGGCCTGCATACCTTCAAGAACATAATGAAACAAGTGATGATAGTTTTATATGCCCATCTGTACCACAGAGCTTCAGCTCCTAAACCCCACCAACCACTTCCTCAGCTTTATGGGACTCGAGGCACAGAAAAAGAGAACAGTGTTGTCTGCTACACAAATCACTACTGTCAGGAGCTAGTCCCAGGCAGCAAGCCCAGGCAAAGGCAGTTCAAAGTCTCCTGTAAACCCTTGACAAAAAGCCATGGGGGTTACGAAATCCAACAGCTGAAGAGAACTTCTAGGCAATACTTGCAGCTCCTAACAGATAGCTGTGCCCCTCTCTCATCTTCCAGTCCTGCTGCCTCCTATCTGATAAACTCTGGAGCCCTGTGAAGCCAGACAGGCCCCAGCAGGAAGCGTTTCTGTCCTGCACCCAGCCCAGGGGATGTTACTGGCAGAGGGTTAACAGTTAGGTTTTATCTCTGGCTGCTGATATCCGAGGAATGTATTCTCCCCCCAAATATCAATCTTGAGCCTAAAATATTCCATGAGAGTGAATGCCAAAGAACACAGCAAAGTAAGTAAAGGCAGAAATAGGAAAAATAGCAGGATAGGAAACTTCAAGCTTTCAGGGTTCTATACAATGAACTACTCAAAGCATTTACATGATCTAAACCATCTATATCCTAAGCTGCTAAGTAACTGTGAATGCAATCTTGCCAGCTAGACATAATAATCTTCAGTTATTAGGACAAATGCAACAAAAGCAGTTTAATAGCTATGTGAGCAGTGGGACAGGTAAACACAGCTCAGTATTATCAAATTTAACATTGCATTTTTTTTTAAGCTAGAGCTTTTCATAGGCTGCTTCACACTGCCTTGCACTTGAGGCAGATGGATTGAAAAATGACCACCTTTAACTTTTAAGACTTGCTACTCTTCAGAACTTTGTGCAACCGAGATGCATCATTTCTTGATCCTTTTTGGCCTTAAAGTAGCACACTCCAGGAGGGAATAACAGTTGTTATAATTTGCTGACTGTTACCTTTTCTAGATTCCTGCCACATTAGTTCTCGCTCAGCACTTGGTAGTGTGTTTTACAATCCCATTTGAGGGTCAAGAAACCAATAAACCCCCCTTGCTAGATCCCTGCTTTGACAAAGGATCTTTTCAAAAAAGGTGTTACCAAAGCAGATGGAAGCAGAATCAAGCTACTAGACAATCCTTTTCAGATCTCTCTTATGGGTTGAGATTCCTAGTTTGATTTACCAATTAAAGATGGGGTGTTAGAATTGGGGACTACTATCCAACATACAAAAAATTATCATATAGTAACAAAAAAAAAAATCTGAAATAGAGGCAATTATTTTAGCCTTGTCTGGTTAATGATATAGAGTTACTATGGGGCAAGTACTCCAACTTTTTCTCCATAATGTCACTATTTCTGCTGCACACATCAGTGACACTGTTTGATACTACTTTTATCAGTTGTATATTAGAGATGTCTTGCAGTGGGAGGGAAATTAATAGTTGAGACATTTCAGAGAAATAGGTTAGTTTTGAATGCCTCTGGTCCTTTGTGATTTCTTCTATTTTGGGCAGTGAAAGAAAAACTACTCAACTGTTCGTGACACCATACCGCACAGCAGGAAATAGGAACAAGGATCCAAGGGCAAATATGAGGTAGGATGATGCAAAGATTCAGGCCATACTGGGCTTGAGTACTCAAACGTTCTTTCCACTAATCCTATCTTAGAGGAGTTTAACATAAGCATAAGAGAACATGGACTGGAAAAGACTACAACATTTGAGATAATTTGCTTCAAGAACATGAAAAGCTGCAAACAGGACAAAAGTCTGCACTGTTAGCCCAGCCTCAGGACATAGCACTCCAGTATCTAAAGAGGCAACTGAGGCAGTCTGGCTTCTACCTGACTCAAGCCCTTACGCCCCCAAAGTCTTAAATTGCCTTCCATATCTTTTTCTACCATAGACTTTACTCTAGGAAGGAGAGAGATGACAGGCCTCTGAAATAACTGTTGTGCATCACCAGTTCCACACACTTACCTGACATTTTGGGTAGGGTTCCACCTTTCAGATGGCAGCTCTCCGCTTTGTGGGTCATCTACAGGTGGGTGAAGAATTGAAATACATACATCTCCATTCTGCAAAATAAAAATGAAAGCTAAATATAGGCTTGCTTGAAGTCTAATGGCTGACTTCTACCACTGGCTATGTTTTAAGCAAGTTAACTATGTGCATACACAAGCCCTCAAATACTAACAAATATATGGAGGGGCTGCAAACAGCTCAGTTCTTCCTAGGTCTGTTTATAGGCTCAAAAGCTCCCTTTCCTAAAAGCAGAATTGGTCTGCAAATGGGTACAGAACAATCTGAGGTCAAGACACTTAAAGAATGTAGCAAACCAAACAAAAATAGTAAAAAGTCACGTAGAGCTAATTTGATCTCTAGAATGCAAGTGTTAGAACAACAATAGAAGAGCCATAGTCACATGAGACATGAAGTAGGGTTAATTTTTTTCCCCCCAGTGGTAACTGAGTTAGCTACAGAAGTCTTTAAATCCAAGGGTTTAGCACTCTACGCTAACCCAGCTATCAAAGCAATACTTTTCCTGGGACACAAGAAGGTTGAACAGATGGTGAGGGACATATTTAAGCTACTTCCCCCTTGGGCACAGTTGTTGGAAATATCAAGTGAAAGAATAGGAGATGCCCTCCAAGAAGCCTGTAACACCAATTCTCTACCAGTAAAAGC